ATGCATCTCAAGCAGGTCCAAGGAGGTGATCCTCCCCTTCTATGTGGCACTGATCAGGCTGCAGCTGGAGTACTGCATCCAGTTCTGGGCGCCGCACTTCAAGAGGGATGTGGACAACATGGAGAGGGTCCAAAGGGGGGCCACTCGCATGATCAGGGGGCAGCAGGGCAGGCCCTATGAGGAGAGGCTACGGGACCTGAACCTGTTCAGCCTCCACAAGAGAAGGCTGAGGGGGGATCTAGTGGCCATTTACAAATTAGTCAGGGGGGACCAGCAGGCACTGGGGGAGTCCCTGTTCCCCCGAGCACTGCCAGGAGTGACTAGAAATAACGGTCACAAGCTGGCAGAGGGCAAATTTAGGCTAGATATGAGGAGGCGCTATTTCATGGTCAGGGCGGCTAGGATCTGGAACCAACTTCCAAGAGAAGTGGTGCTGGCTCCTACCCCGGGGGTTTTTAAGAGGAGGTTAGATGAACACCTTGCTGTGGTTGTTTGACCCCAGTACTCTTTCCTGCCACGGCAGGGCATCGGACTTGATGATCTGCTCAGGTCCCTTCTGACCCTACAAACTATGAACTATGAACTATACCCCAAATCAGAGGCAAATTTGAAAAGCAAGGGGCTGACACACCCAAGCTCAAGAAGCAAGTTACTAGGGAAAGATGAAACAGTCAGAGTGTCTCAGACGTGGATCTAACCATAAGACAACACCACCACCGGGACAGGTAAAAGTCTTCTGAAAGTCTTCAGCCAGTGGGATGGCCTGTTTACCACCATGGGTCACTTCCATCAGCTCTTATTTTCTTATTCTGATTAATACCCTTACAAATAAGTGGCCAGGCTAATAAAAGATCCTAACCTTTATGAATTCTTCCCATGACAAAGTTAGGTTGCTAAGGAAACCAGACCAGATAAATAATCAGATCTTGTTAACCCGCCAAATAGGACATTCAGTTGCTTAGCTACTGGCCATGCGCGTCTCAACTCCAGAGATGACTCACTCCATTAGTATAACTCAAAGCAAACATTGTTCAGCCATGGCCCAGCCACATCTAGTGGAAGCACTAGTACAAACATGCTTTAAAATTGTGTCAGCTGTTAGGGGGTTTTAATCTGACAATTAGTAGGTTCTAAATCAGATAAAAAAAACAATCTGGACTCTCAGCATAACTTTATTGCTGCTGTGTGCAAAGGGGTGCCAGCGCAATCTCCACTAACATTAATGGGTTTGCATAGCTAGAGTGCAATAGCTTGCTAAATCTTTATATTATTGTGCATACAGTTAACTATGCTTTTTATGGTTTTTCCTATAACAAGCATTCCATGTTAAAAGGGTTTGCGTATACCATTGTCAACATTTACTTCTGAAATCTCACAGGGTACACAGCAGTTTTTATCCATCATCATATCCTGTTGTTTGGCTTCAGTGAGGAACCCTGATTCGTTACTGCGAAACACTGCTATTTTATACATAATGTATAAATAAATACGTGTATTGTATATATACCACTAATAAGCTAGACAACTGCTATCTATTAGGGATGTGCGAAATTTTGCCAACAGTTTCATTTTGACACTGTTTTGACTCATTTTGGGCTCAAAACAGCAAAATCGAAATGAAACAGAGAGCTTTGAAAGAGCCTCGAAATGAAATGAGGCAAGTCGAAACGTTTTGAAAAGTTTTGAGTTTCAAAGCTCAAACTGGGCTTGCCTGCAGGGAAACAAAAACTAAAGTGAGGAGAGAGAGGGGAGAAGGGAGGGGAAGGAGTGCTCTCATTATTGCCTGTGTAGCGAGCCAGTGCCTGTCACCCTTTCCTGAGGTCCCTTCCAGTCCCAGTGCTCTGGGGGAGGGATGGAAAAACTGCATAAAAAGCAGCATTGTTTTGCCTGTCAGCACCTAGAGGTGCAGGGCCCCAGAACCCAGACTGCCCCTGTACCTACCTCCTTGACAGCTGGCAGGCTTTGTGGCCTCAGCACAAGCTAGCAGACCTGCAGCTTTCACCCTGCTGCGCCTTAACACGCACAGTGTCACCCATGTCACGAGTTTTGCTTGTCTGCAGCTTGAGGTGCAGTTTTCCCAGAACCCCTACACCTATCTCCTTGAAACTTGGCAGGCTTCGTGGCCTTAGCAGGGGCTAGCAAGCCTGCAGTTTTGACCCCACTGTGGCTTAACACATACACATGACATGAGTTTTGCTTTCAAGACTTTGAGGTGCAGTTTTTCCAAAAGCCCTGCACCTATCTCCTTGACACTTGGCAGACGTGATGCCCTCAGAATGGGCTACCATTTCTGCAAATTTCATCCAAATCAAGCTAGAAATTACAAAGTTACAGGCTGTTCTGAGCTTCCCCATTGTAGCCTGTGGGTGAAAGATAAAAACAGTGTCAAAACAGTGAAACGAAATGCAACAGCGGTTTTGAATCAAAATGAAATTTAAAACGAAACACTGTTCCATCAAAATGTCAAAACACAAGTCAGAATGGAACGGTGCCCTTTCGCACAGCCCTACTCTCCATGTCCAGCATGTTTAACAAGACCGTGTCCTACTCATAAGATATATATGAATTAAAGTTATATTGCATTAGCACACAAAAACATTACGTTTTAGTGTGGGGTTTTCAGGAGCACCTCAGTGACTTAGGAGTACTTTCAGCAGGGCCTGCACTCCTAAATCACTTAGGTGATTCGCAGATTAAAAGTTCTATACTCTGTTAGTGTTTCAAGAAGAAGTTGTACTTTTAATTTTTCTTTGTTGTGTTTCCAAGCCATTCAGATTTGGAAACAATCATTTTTATCAAACGATTTTACAAACGTTGAAAACTAGCCTCTTAATGGATCCTAGTTTTAACTTTAACCAAGGAAGATTCTTGGTCTTTCCATAGTACAAGGAATATAATTTCATCTGCCTCTGAAATGCAGCCACTTCAGAGAGCAAGTACAGAAGGCACTGGAGGCCCTAATCAATCAATACACTTAAGCACATGCCTGATTTTAAATATTTGAATAATTCTTTTTATTTCAGTAGAACTTGTGCTTAAAATTAAGCATGCTCTTTTTAATACTTCACCCAACAAAGCTCTTAAGAGGTCATAATGCTTCACAGCATTGTAATTCAGGAAATAAGGGAGAATACATTATCCCATTTACTGCCAGGGAATTTAAAAATATTATATTTACGTGGTTAGATTTTATGAAAAGAAGGTAAATATCCTTTTCTTTTTTTTAAAAATGTCTAGGCTGTTTTTGAGGAATACAAGCTAAAGACTTCACATTTGTATCTTATCTAAAAGCTCCTAATGTCTATAGCACAGCACGCCCTGCACCCAAACTGAAGTCCTGGTGCAGTGCAGACTCAAGAGTGGAAAACAGCACTTGACTCATAGCCTATTGACGTAAAAGGAGTCTCTGCACTGACCTCAGTGAGCTCTGGGTCGGGTGTTTACTGAGGCATCAATCAATACCACTTCTAACAACACCAGGTTGTTTCTTTTTTTCCCCTATGTGTGTTTCTGATCCAGCAACTCACCAAACCCAACCCTGCTTAGTGTAGGGCAGGTGGCAAGATAACAGTATCATATTAGAGAGAGGTATAAATGAAAATATATTTACAAAGGAAATTAGAAATTGTATTAATTATAATTTAATTTAATTTAATTTAACCTATAATGTAATAGGTTTACAATGGGATAAACCTTTTTTTTATCAGCAAACATCCAAAATCCACCATAGAAAAGCTGCTTTCATTTTTAATTTTATGTCAGTGAATATATAAATGGCTCTGTCCGTCATACAGCATTATGTTATTTTTCATCAGATGAAGGGCAGAAGTGCTGTTGGTAATTTGCTGTGAAATATGATTGTTTAAATTCTAACCTCTTAGTTGCAGTTCTAGAGATCTATCCCTTGGAAAAAGATGCTTTTAGCTGATGGGTAAAATGATCAGCTTTGTTTTTCTCACTTCTTCATAAGTAAAACATGATGGAAAATATTTAAGGCTTTTACTAGTCCAATAGAACTCCTTTCAGCCCACAGCCACCATTCCTGGTACTGAATAGTTTGTCTGTTTCCATGCAGGAGAGATGAACATCTCCGAATCAAACTAGATGCAGAATTTTGGATTTATGTTTAATTATATTTTTAAAAGCACAGCAAAAGAACAGGCAAAGTCTGCACAAATTCCACAATATAGATAAGAATATAGGTGGTTACATTATCATCTATATTTGTAGCTGTGCCAGTGAGTGCAGTGTCAGAAAAAGGGCTGTTTTTCTTCACTAGCGTGTCCTGCTTACATAGAAACTGTGCATGCTGATGAAATTCTGTTTTGACTTTTCCATGAGGCAGGAGTTCAGCCCAACAGATTTTCAGGTACTAGAAAGAATTGTTATTCAGTTCCCAAGAGGTGCCATCATTATCTACTTAATTTGTTTTCTGTCAACCTTTTCTTTAAAAAAAAAATCTATTCTACTTTAAATGCTTCGTAAAACCTTTTTAACTGGACTTAATTAGCCAATAACTCTATAAAAGCATTTGCTACAGAATATTCTCCTTCCAGGAAAAAGCAGCATTTGAATCAGATATATCTTTAATTACATACATCCATTGTTTTCAGCAGAAGAAGCTGCCTGATGCAGTGTGACTTCATTCATTGAATCAAAAATGAAAAAGATTCTTGTTTTAAATTAAGCTCAGTTTTGAATAAATCTTCCTCCGCTCCCTGTCTTTTATGTATATCGGCCTCATTTGGTATCATGTAGTATCATACTTTCTTTTTACTTGAAGATATTCAAGATTTTCTGTTTAAAGTTAATCATGTATCCATTCTATAGCTTGGTAATCATTTGCCTTTACATTTGTTTTTTTCAGAAACAAGGATTTTTAACTCCTTCCTTAACAATTTTCTTCTCAACAGGCAATTGAGCCTTGTCTTGCCTGACTGTATAATGCGGGTACTCTCATTTTCTTTTGGAGAATAACTGGGAATTGTTTTGTTTTCCAGAAAACTTGGATGAAATGATTGCTCTGCAGACAAAGAATAAGCTTGAGAAACCTTCTACTGATACCAAAAACAAGCTGCTAGCAGGTACTTAGCCTATTACTCTCTCCCCCTGTATTCCCTAGGGCTAAGTACAGACAGTCAAAAATCCCAAGGCTGAATTGATTAAAACTTCACAAGTTAGTCTAAGCTGTGTCGATTAAACTGATAATCAAGTGAACAGACATTCACTTCTGATTAAAAAAATGCAGCCATGTGCGTGCAGTGGCTCGAACCAAAACCTGGGAGGCGCTAGAGCACACCTCCCTGCTCAGCTGGAGCAGACAGCTTGGGCCAAAGCTAGCCCACCCATTCTGTGAGGGGAGGGGTTGTGAGGGATGTGCAAAGCATCCTGGGATGCTGGGAGACTGTGACTTAACTTGAATCTGGAGGGGATCTGGAACAGACTGTATAATGTGCAGATTGCTCATGCCATGTGTAAAGACAATTGAAGCACTTTATAGTACATGGCTCTCTGCTATTATGAGGTTGATTTCTTTGTGCTTAGTACAGAATAAGACCAAAATAGATAGTCATTGGTCTGTGAATTTTAGGACCTGATCCAATGCTCATTGAAAGCAATGGCCAAACACCTATCATTTTCCTTCAGCCATTGAAACCAGACCTGAAAGGATGTGTATATTAAATTTTAATTGACTGACTTGGATTATCTTTTGTAAGAGATGATGCAGGCATTTTCAGCGATGCAGGCCGGAGATGACATTTAGAAACACATCCTACTCAAGCTATTAATTTTTTCCTGTATCATCAGTCAAAATCATTAACCTACCCAAAGAACATCCTAATGTGATTTACAAATATTGGCAATTACAGTGCAAAAATAAGGGATGGCTATGTTTGCAATGCCTTTTAGACAAGAGTAATGAAGAGACTGACAGCACAAAGGAAGAAGCAGCTAAAATGGAAAAAGAATATGAGACTTTGAAGGATTCCACAAAAATTGAAGAGCAAAATACAGCAGGAAACACTAACCAGCCAAAAGGTACATGATTATTATGGGTTTTGCTGTTAATCTGTGATCTAAATGATTTGTTGTTTTTTCCCCCCTTTTGGTAGCATAGTGACCTGTTTCTATAGCAGTGTCACAGATGCAATATGGCAACTGAACTAATTTTGTAAAGGAACAAGCCCATTGATTGTATAGTTAGGATGGCTCTGATTTGTCTAGCTTAAACTCATGCCTAGTGACCTGACAGAGCTTTTTGATATTGGGAGAAGGGTGATTAATAATAAGAATCTTCTCTGGGTAGTGATATCCTTCAGGAAAAATGTTATTTAATCAAAAACTAATCAAATAATTTTGATGGAAAATTTTCAACCGGCAGTTGAAAATACAGTTTAGTTCATACATACATGACCTGCTGGTCCCAAAAACACCTACCATTTCTGGGAGGCATATCTTCACACGTCTCAAATCCAAATTAATGTATTCGCTTTTATTTAATTCAGCAGCAGATTCAAATGCTCTCCTCTGCACCATTAAGCTCTTGCTTTATGTATATTCTTTGTCCCCTGAATTCTTTGGGACAATTCATGCATTTCAAGTCAGCTGATGCTGAGTAATAAGAATTCTAATGTAAAGTTTTGACTGAAATCCAGCTGTCTGAATTCCCTGCCACCAGTCCTATAAACAGAATTGTATTTTCCCTGGAAGGCTGCTAAGTGTTCTTAAATTACTCCAGTGTTTGGGAAAGAACTTTACCAGCCCTTTGGTACATGCATCCTGCTCTGCATAATCTAAATAAGGCACACATTCATATTCAGAGCAGAACAGACCTCCTTAACATGTGTGCACTATATACACTGTTGTCACATTATTTGTTAAGCACATGTTTAGTTCCACATGAAGCAAAGGAAGTCACAGTCCTTCCCTTGGAAAATTTCTCTGTGAAAACTTATGCATGAAAGATTTATTTTAAAGAGGATGAATAGTGCAGCTGTGGGCAGGATGTCATTTATCTATGCAATATTAATATTCAAAGACCTAATATTGCTCTCAGTGATGTCATTGAGAGTTATGTATTTAAGTCCAGTGGGAGTTGGATTGTACTGAAGATCTGTTTTGAATCCAAAGGTGCTGAGAACAAAAACTGTATATTTTTTAATTGAAATGAACCAAAATATGTTTTTATCATCATTTTTGCCACACTAAGACTTTTAGCAATAGCACCCCAGGCTGTGTCCACACGAGCAGGAACATGCATTTGCAGCAGCACAAATAGTAGCACCACAAATTTGTGCCACTACTTTGTGCTGCCCTACTTGTGTGGTTTGCAGTGAAACACATTGTCCTGCTGCTCCATGTGCTGCAGGGGGTGGTGGCTGGGGCACAGGGGCTGCCTCAGCGTGAAGCTATCCACAGACGGCTGCTACACTGAGGCACCCTGTGCCCCAGCCAGCTGGGTATTGGCACATGGAGATGGGTAAGCAGACAGTCCAGGGTCTTCGCCTTTGTCCTGGCACATGGAGCTTTGACGTGTTTTGTGCCACTTTCTTTTCATGGGATTTTTTGCTACCAGGAAATCCCAGTAGCTAATTTTACCCCAGTGCTGCAACACGTGTGGTTTGTGGTGCTGCAAAGAGGTTTTCAGTGCCACAGACCACATATGCCTGCACATCTGGATCCGGCCTCAGAATTTATCAGAACAAATAAAAGAAGCTCCTTTTGGACTTACCAACAGTCACTCCTCGACACATGCTTCCTTCCTCACATCTGTATCATTAAAGCCTCATTAATTTAGTCCCTTATCTGTAAAGGAAAGTTAGAATTTGCAAAGCAGTTTATAAATTAATTATTAATCAAGCAATTGATTATCATTTTTTGAATATGTTGTAGTTCTGAACATATTGTAGTTCCTTCAAATGATTCTCTAGTAAAGATTGTTATTTATCACAGCTACAAATGACTTCTCTCTATACTTGTAACAAACTATTATATAGTAAGCATGAACCTACCACACAGGATGCCTCTAGCAGCACTGTCACTGGTACCAGGGTTTGTACTGTTTTCCCATTTCATTAGCTTACATGTATTTTATTCTGTTTCTTCCCATCCCTACACCTTTGCACACAAGCCTCGATTCAGAAAGGGGCTTAAGCATAGGCTTAATTTTATACAAAGGGATCTACCTGCCTTGCTGAATTGTGTCATAATATTACAGTATTTATATACTATTTTAGGAACCAAATCAAATGCTTGTTAATACAGTAGTGTGGTGAGATATTGCCTTTCTGCATCTGTGGATTTTGAGCAAAATAGGATCATCAGCACATTCAATATTCTGGGTTGAGCATATCGATTTCTCCAGTCTGTGTTAGGAGATGCTGATATTGAGAGGCTGAGTCATCTGTTCTATAGAATGAAACAATTTGCAGGTCCCACTGCTAGACAGCCAAGGTGCTTTTAACAGCTATTGTCCACATGAGCAATTAACATGTTCTACATAACTGGAAACCTCTGACAGCAAGTTAGCAGCTCAAGGAGGAAACAGAGCAGTGATACCTATTATCTTACTAGCTGCCTCAAAGCAGCGTTTGATGTTGCATGCCATATCAAGTTAGCTTGTTGTAACTCTAAGCCACTCTTTTTCACATAATGCTACAGCAAGAGGAAAAGCCAAGTTGGCTGCATGCTACAAAGCAAATGCACAGGAAATAACATAATCCTTCAGTCCCTATTTCAAAGCCTGAGTGGCCCAAAATGCAAAGACAATCACGGATGTACTTTAGCTATTTTCTGTGTCCAGCATCATAGGTGTTTCAGCACCTGTCAAGAATTTAAAAAGAAAGAATAGTACGAGTTGCAGTTGCTCTCTCTCCATTTCCTCCTTCCTGGCTTATGTCAGAAATACCTTTGATTTCTTCATAGAATTTTTTTAACAGTAATTGGTTGTATGTGCATGAAAGTGTTATGAAGAGAAAAAGCAAGGTTAAGAAATAAGATTTCTGGTTGTTTATGAGGGGCACGTTCCATAGTTATTCATACCATTGATGAGGGAGAGTTTCATGAGCTAGGTACATCTGCCATGGAAGTTTGATGTCCTGCACTCACAGGACTCTTCCTTGGTCAGTAATTCTGTTATTCTGGCTGCTGTAGGGTGTCATGTTTGCAAAAAAGGGTGAGGAAATCAATTCCATGGAGGATTTGAATTCAATATAGACTCCATGAAGTTGATTCTGTTTGCATTGAGGAAGTAGGGCAGACAGTGGTAGGCTGGGATAAAATGTTTATGATAGCTGTGGGTTGCTAAGCTGGTAGCTGCTGGTAGGTGCTTTCTGTCACTTGGAACTTCTTAGAGTGTGTGCGTCTTCAGCCCTAGATAAAATAAACTGCAATTGTAATCAGGCCTAGAGTTCATAGTTCACTGGTAACTGTGCCTCGTATGGACCCAAGAGGATGGAGTGTAATTTGCTACCCAGTCATTTTTTGTGGCTGTAGCTATTGGAGAATCCCATAACGACAATGGGTGTCTATATACCCTTCTGTAGGGTGGTGGGGAGGAACATTTTAATTAGAGTAGCTAGCAGGAGCCGCTTTAATTAAAATGCCCATAGTATTGCTTGTATTCAGCATCCCATTTTTAAAAATGGCGGTGGGGGCACTTTAGCTAAAGCTCATACGACAAGCTTTAGTTAAAGCACCCCCACTGCCATTTTGAAATGTGGGACACTGAATACACAAGACGCTGCAGCACGCTGGAGATTAGAGCGTTTCAGCAGACTCGATTAATCAAGTCTGCTCCGGCGTGTTCGAATCAGAATGCATTGGGGCGGATATAAGGGTCCAAAAGAGCTCAAGCCTACAGACTGATTTAATAATCTGCTCACTGTTAAATTCTACAGGAAGCACTTCCATTTTCTGTTTGTGATGTTCCCAGTTTGGGCTAATGTCTGTCTTATACCTTTCTACAACTGGCTTACAGGGGTATGAATTCAAGCAGAATTTCAGCTTGTTCCTCTTCATACAAGATGCTCTGCTGGTTTATTGACTGACTCCCTACCATGCTACTTGTGCATTCTCAGCTCAAAAGTTCCAGTCTATTTAGTATTGCATTCATTTACTGATGGGACGAAACTTGCAGAATTGGCAATAGAAGCTTTCTGCAAGGTAATTGCACAATTGTTTTCTTGATGAATATAAACACATTACGTCAATAAACCTCTAGCCAAGTTAAGAATTCAGAATCCATTAGCTGTAATATTCCCTTAGGGACCTTATTAGGTATCCTTGAACTAATTCTGTCCTACCTGCTTTTGAGGCCAAAAATAGTCGCCATTTTAAAATTCATAATCTAAAGAACAAGGTGTAACAGGAAATGATAAACAAAATGCTAATGCTTTCCTTTCCTTAGCAAATACAGCTGTCTGCAGTTCAGGTCATGGCTTTTTTCTGATGTCTTTTCAAAACATCACAACCTTATTTTTGATGTATGCTGGTCTATCAGCAAATGGAAGAGGTTTCTGATGTTTTTCAGATGTGAGCTGATGCTGAAAGCTTTCAGTGTCATTAAAATTGTACCCTGCTGTCTTAACAGCTTCATCTTTGCTTAACAATGATTGTGATCTAAAAGCCACCAACTGCCCTCAGTCCAAATGCACAGTGTCTGTGCATATCAGCAAGAATTATGCACATGAATCAAAGAAAAAGATATTGCCCTAAATGTGTGTCACATCTGGCTAACCTTTTACAGACAGGACCTGTTAGCCATTGATGGGAACTGTCTGAGCAAGGAGGACAGGTTGGACTCTTCAGCAGAAACTATGAATAATTTTAACCTGTCTTTAATTGTAATCAAGAGCTTGCAGTTAAACAAGCTGCATCAATCATTGATGGTTAGTATTTGATTTCTCTCTCATCTGTATCTCCAGGGAAAGCTGAAGCATATTTGGAGGCAATCAGGAAGAACATTGAATGGCTAAAGAAGCACAGCAAGCAGGGACCTAAAGAAGGTATGAAGTAACAAACTTGTAGCTTGGAGTGGATGCTCTTTTAATTAGGAAGCACCTTAAAAACACATGATTAATATTAGCCTGATAAAATGCATTGAACAACTAACACATAGAATGTGAAATGCACGTCTGGGTTACTGCATAATAAATAGTGACACTTAGGGTCATTGGTAAGTAGTCTAGGACCAAACATAAGGTTATCTTTAAAAATTATATGGGCATATATTATAGAGATGTTTAAAATCACTGCATAATGATTAACCTACTATAACAACACACTGCAGATCATAACACACTAGCATAGTAATTATCCTGCCCAGGCTGGTCTCCAAACCCAAAACATGTTAGTAAGTGAGCTGGAAACAACCCTGCCACCTTCCAGATCTTCCCATCCCTTCACAAACACCAGAGAATAATAACAAAGTTTTGCTGTGCGTAAAGGCACTTTATACTTGTTGCATGTAAAGCCAAGTGTAAAGCTGAACCAACTCCACCAGCCTGTTTGGCCTGTTGCTCCAAAACGTTATCACTGCAGGGAAGTGGAGCGGCCAAGAGTGTGGAAAAGCTGAGGGGGAAAGGATGCGAGATGCAATGGAATGAATCGCAGAATCTACAGGAGTCATTTTCTGCAGATCCTGGCTTGTTCAAGTCATCTCCACACTCAAGGTGTTGCACTGAACCAGGATCCTAGCTTGTCTCTGCCCTGTCCTGGAACTATTAGTTAGCTGTAATAGGGGTTAGGACAATCCCCAGGTTTTGGGAGGGAGGATGAGGCAGGAGGAGTGGCTAAAGCCCCTTGAAAAGGAAAGAGCTCTCTTTGCACAGCCAAGAAGAGGAGGGGAGACTATATTCCCTCCACATTGTCTAGCTGGCTCTTGTGTGTGATAAAGTGTAAGGTGGGCACATTTCCCATTTTTCTTCAGAGAAACTCGGTGACGGGAGATTTGAACTGAACGCCATGCCCTTCCATTCCCAGCTTTCCTACACTCTATAGCTCCTCCTTTCATCCTCACATCGTATCCCCCCAACTCATAACAACAGCTGCAGTTGATGACAGGCTTACATATTGCTACAGACTTTTCCTGCCAATTCTAATAAATATTTCTATTTATCAGTGTGTTCATTATAGTAATTAGTGCTCAGTCACATATGATTATTCCCTCTGTTTCCCATATTCTCTACAAGCCCCCTCTCCTCTTCAAAGTAACCTTTTCCTCAGCATTACCAAAGACTGAAAATGACTGTAACTACAAATACAATAGCATTTCATCTGTTTTGCTGTGAAAGCAATGAGACGTGATGTTAATTCCCTAAGTAAATGGATTCCCTGTGGAGTCTTGAACATCATGATACTTGATACTACAAGGGCCTGATTCTCTTTAATATTAATGTCTCTCTCCTTGCCTCTAGCAGAGTGAGGTGGCCTTCAAGTGGGTGTAAATTATAAGTAAATGAGAATAAAAGTTTAACCCCTTTATGCTTTTATAACCTTTGTCCTTCCCCTGCTACACATTTTATTCTTGCAAGCATTTATTTGGCAGCCTGGCAGTATTGTGAAAAGTGGTACAACCGAAATACGTTTACTCTGTCCTTCACTTCAGGATTATGCGCTACTTCATGTGTTTGGCAATCACTTTTCTACTGGAAGCTGGTGGAAAAATAAGAAAAGTGATTCCCATACACTTGGCCATTTCTCTCCAAACTGTATTACTCATTGGGTGTATTTGAGTGAGCTCTGGTTTCTTTAGGAAATCTCTGCAAATCCTGAATGTATAACTTTTAACAGAAATAGTGCTTCATCCAAAACTCTGCACTGGGAGGGCTTATTTGCCATTGTCATCTCCTTTTTAAAAAATCTGCTGTCCCATCAGACAGCAGAAACAATCTTACGTGAACCAGGTGGCCGTTAGACCCCAAAATACAAATTATTTAAAAATCTACATTTCAGCCTGATTCTCTTCTGTGCCCAAAGTTTAGTAAGCATAAGAAAATGGCAAGAATATCTCCTCTCCTCTGTGGGGCCATTCATGCCGTACCGAATCCTGGCATGAGTTCACAGATCAATGGAGTTACACCAGCTTGGAACACAAGTAATGTACTGATGAATCGAGCCTTTATTTGAATGACCCATCCTTTTTTGAAATCAATACTCTGAAAAAACAGCTTATCTGCTGATATAAATTGGCATACTTCCCAGCCCTTAGGGATGTGTTGCCATGTTTCATATTCTGTATTTTCAGTCTCCAGAGAACAAAACTGCGAGGTACCTAATTAACACTTGTAAAACCACAAATTTGGAATTGCTTGCAAAAATACTTAGGTAGTGATATAGCCATCAAGTTTCATAGCACCCACACTCACCATAGTGACTAAAAAGAAATTTTAGGATTACTTTTACTTTTTTCAGGTTTTACTGGCAACTGGGTTGATTTGAATATGCAAATATGCCTCATTTTAAATATAATACAGCTATTTTGTAGTTCAGTGTAATGTGTCGTATGTGGTAGGTGAATATAAATGAAAGCAGATTTTTTTATTTACTTATTTTGGTCAACTTGCCCTAAACAAGTGTGATGGGCTAGCTGGCAGTGACCTAGCCCAGGGGTTTTGAAAGGGCAAAAGATGATTGGAGGACTTGGGAATCCCTTTCCTCACCAATCTGGTAATGATTTGGCCCAGGGGTTTTGAAGGGCTAAAAGATGATTGGAGGACTTGAGATTCCCTTTCTGCACCAATCAGGCCCCAGAGACTCACCACCACCACCACCCCCGTGTCCCTATTGGCCCCTTGGGTCACCTGGAGGGGGATAAAAGGGGCAGCATGGGCTGACTCAGGAGAGACCAGCAAGGGACAACAAGGAAGGAGCTTCACAGAGCTGGCAAGAGCTGAGCCAGCAGGGCAGGAGCAGTGCCCCAGAAGAGCCTGAAAGAGCAGGACCTGCAGGCAGCAGTGGGACCCTCAGCACACGGCGTACGGCCGGCAGGAGAGGCTCCCCACTGGGCTCCAGGATCCCCTATGAGAGGCTGCAGCCAGCAGGAGAGGCTCCCCCAACTCCAGGAAGGATCTGAGCAGTGACCTGAGAGGTTCCCAGCTCTGCTTCCAGCTCCTCCAATCAGAGGCCAGGCAGCTTGACGTGAAGCTAGGGCTCCAGGAAGGTCAAGACCGCTAGCAGGCTGGAGTAATACCACTAGTGGTGGCTGTGTGATAGTGTCCCTATCTATCACATGGGAGATCTGGGTTAAAGTTCCTGCTGAGGTGACTTGGGGTGAGTGAGATAACAAGAAACAAATCTCCCAGTGGAAAGGGGCCATTGTGTTTTCTCCCCCTCCAGGTACCAAGGCCCTATATTTCCTTGACATTTAACATTTTGCATTTTGTGCCTTTTTATATTTCACCAACTCACATTGTTTGTTCTGCTGTTTGTGTTTTTATATTTTGTTAACCCTGTTTTTTGTCAATGATTGTAAGTGTCTAACCTTTGTTGAATCCTCCCCTCTTGGGGCATTGTAGTGTCCACTATACCCTCTGATTTATGCCTGTTATGTTCCCAGTATTAAAAGGTATATGGTTAAGTCCCCATTGGTGGTCTGGCTCTGCTCTATAGCGGGAGGAGAGTCCCTAC